CTACACTACTATACTATACTACTACTATTACTACTACTACTACTATTACTACTACTACTACTATACTACTACTACTACTACTTTACTACTATTACTACTACTACTATACTACTACTACTATTACTACTACTACTACTACTACTACTACTACTACTACTACTACTACTATACTACTACTACTACTACTACTACTACTACTACTACTACTATTACTACTACTACTATTACTACTACTATTACTACTACTACTACTACTACTACTACTACTAACTACTACTACTACTACTACTACTACTACTACTACTACTACTACTACTACTACTACTACTACTACTACTACTACTACTACTACTACTACTACTACTACTACTACTACTACTAGTAATAATAATAATATTAATAATAATAATAATGATAATGATAGTAATTTTTCTTCTTATTATTATTATCATTATCATTTAATTTGTTATAGCTGATAGTAATAGATGAAAAAAAGATCCAGAAAACTCAAGAAATAGGTTAGACAAGTGAGGTCAGGTAGTCATTATAACCGATTATTTGATGATAAAAAAAAACAAGCATTATGGACACTGCATGTTCCTAGTGTTAATGGGTTGGAAATGTGTTTTACTGGATACTTTACAAACCCATAACAAGAAATAATTAAACAGTGAGATTAGTTGGCAATGCTCTCCTCATATTGACCTCATATTAAGAGGTTATTGATTTTAAGCTTCACATTTTGATAATGCCTGAAGAGAATGTTACCAGAAAACTTCATGTTCATCTGAATTGTACGTCTTAATTACTATTTCTACATATCGAACAGAGAAAAATTCTGCTTCTTCTGTATATTCAGGGTTATTTCACTTATAATATTTTCTTGTGATTTATAAGACTAATGACCTCACTCAGACCAAAGAGAACTTGAATGCTGAGATGTATCAAGGATAAATGAGCTGGCAGGGTTTGAATACTTAGTTACTAGGATATGCAGGTAGGTGCTTATTCTTTTATTAATATCATATGATGTACTGCTTGTAATTTTAATGAGGTGTTTCTTTATGGAATTGAGAAAGAGGTCACACAAGACAGGCAAGGGATTAGTTGAAATTTGTAATTGAAAAGAACTCCCCTTTTTTAGTATGTTTTTAAATGGTTGTGTTCATGGTACAGGGGCCATCTATGTGCATGTTGAATTTTAATTTTTCAAGTGGCTATATGGATCATTGTTGGGATAATAGTATAATTATTGAATAGTGTAGTCTGAGAGAAAGAAAGAGAGCATTGGAGATGGAGTTAGAGAGAGAGAGATCCTGGTAGTAATAGAAGTAGAGATTGAGATGGACAGAAGTTTTAGTTGGCAGAAATACAGAGAGAGACAGACAGGTGTGGACAGACAGACAAACAAATAGATAGCCTTATACAAAAAGTTAAAAGTTATGGTGATTGACATATTTTAGCCATAAATAGTAAATGTAGTATAGGGAATATTTTAATGTGTTATTTATATTTTTCATTTTCTTGATAAAAAATATGAAAACCTTATACAATTTTCTAGTACAAATTTTATCAATTCTTTCAGATGAAGTCTTGGATATTTATAGACAATGAAAATGAGAAGAGAAAATACAGATATCAGATGAGATTTTTTTTATAATAGCTAGAATAAAGATTTAGTGCAGGTAAAGGATTTGAATTGGTTAAGTCAGTGTATTGTGACAACAAAGAAAAATATTACGCATATTTATTGAGTTACTATTTGGATGTAAAACAGAAAAAAAATGGTAATCACTTTATGTGTAATAGCTAAAAGGTATTCCTTTATTGAAAAACAAGAAGAAAATCGATGTAATAAGATACATTAAATACATATTATCTTTATTTTATACTGTTTTCATGGGAAGGCTTTCTGCAGCATATATCTTGTTGATATAATGCAATGTGAATTATAGATATAAGTATGTAATACATGAAAACATGTATAGTTATTCACAATACTATCGACAGAAGTTTTTTTTTTTCTAGTTAAACATATCTGTATCTGGCATTCCCCATACACATGATACACAAAACACTTTATTTTCATTGATGTTCTTATAAATTATTAATCTGTTGATGCCACGTGCATGCATTTGTCCACTGTAATCTGTTTTATTAATTTTGTTTACATGTTGATGACTTCAAAGTGCTTAGTTATCATTACGAGGCTAACTACAGGAGTTAGGTAGTCTTAATAGTTGGTGACATTAGCACTTCCGGAGCCATCTCTGTGTAGACAAAGATAATAAATAAAACTGCAGTAGACAGTGCATTTAGAAAAGAAAACAGGAACAGTAGATTTCGATTCTGCATATATTTTTAGAACAATAGATAGTTTTAGTAATATTTGTCCTCTGAGAACAAAGATTAATAATACAATTCAGTCCTGCTATTTTCTTATTTCTAATTAATGTAGATGTCTTACCAGTAATTTCTGAAATGTTGAAGTAAACCTTTG